CCCTGTTCAGGCTGATGTTCCCACTGGGGTTCGGACGTGTGTGCACGTCCCGCATGCTGATGCGGTCAGGGACAGTGAAGTCTGGCCCCACACCTGCGGAGCAAGCTGAAATTGACCGCAGGCTAGCAGAAAAGAAAAAAGAAAAGGAAGCAAAGAAGAAACAGAAAGAAGAAGAGGCAAGGAAAAATATGAAAGAGAAGATGGAGAGAGAGTTGGAAGAAGAGTTGAAGAGCATAGAAGAAGAAAAAGAGACAGAACAGGAGGAAGAACAGACATTGCAAAGACGTCGTCCCATCGACATTCCGGGGAGTAGTACAGCATAGAAACTTCCCGTTGAACCCTTGAATTCGGCTAATCAATACTACTACTCCAGCGAATTACTGAAAGAGTCGGAAGAAGAACGTGATGTGTTCATTGCCAAGCTGGCCACGGTGACAGATACCGTGGAGCGAAACCTGATGATGGAAGAAAAAATGGCTGAGTTGCACAGTAAATTGCTAGCAAATAGAAGACAAGAAATTGATGAAAAGAAAAGACTGCAGGCAGAAGGGGAAAGACTGCAAAAGGCCCTAGAAGCCCAAAAGGAAGACCCCTCTGCAACTGAAGTTCAACTAGCCTTACTCAGAGAAGCAGTGCTTAACACAAGACAAGATATGAACTTAATGCGTCAGACCCTGCAAAGAGTTGAAACGCATCGGGTGGAATTCGAAATGTCTGGAATAACTTCTTAGAGAAGTCCGCGAAGGACGTGGACCATCATGTTCAGACATATATCCAGGTTTTGGATGATCATGTCACTAAAACATTCACTCCGAAAGTCGTAGAGAGGATTGTAAAGGGAGCTGGAGACGACGGAGGAGATGGTGATGGCGACGACGATGATGATAAGAAAGGAAAGAGGAAGATTGGGGATCCGAAAGAAAAATTTCCTCAGGAAACCGGGCAGGTCAACAAGATAAAACTTAAACTGCCCTGGACCTACAATGGAAAAAAAGAAGAAAGTGTGTTACACTGGGCGGCAGCAATCGAAACTTACGTGTACGAACAGCGTATCCCATACTGGGACAGGGTGTTGATGGCAACGTCGTGCATGGGAGGCGACGCCATGAGCTTTCCCATCTCGCTGCAAAAAGAGGCAGGATGCAGCTCTATGGTCGAATATTCGCAGCAAATGCGTATTGAGGATTTCCTTAAAGCGGTAAGAGAGAGATTTGAAGACAAGAACCTAGCAAGACGTACAAAACTGTTGATCATCAGCCTTCCTGATAGGAAATGGAAGAGTACTTCTGCACTAAAGGTCACTATGGATGAATTATTGCAATGCCCTAATCACGGGTTGACGCCGGCCCAAATCTTAAACAGTTTTGCAAGAGCACTCCCGGATCCCCTGAGAACGCAACTTTATCCCCGCACCAAAGAAGAGGGGATGACATATGAGAAGTTCGGCAAGATTTCCATAGATCATGCTGGCTTCCTCGCTGAAGCGAATTATTGCCATTACTGGAAAGATCTGCAAGCGGGAAAGAGATGGCAAAACCGCACCATCTCAGAGTCTATACCTGGGAAAGATAGTCTCCTTTTGACCTTTGAAGAAGGAGGCGCCGAGACCATCTCCTGGGATCAGGTAGACTATGGTCTCGATGAACCCAACAGATCGGTAACTCAAGAGGGGAGTTACGCGGCTGTTGCAGCCCGCGGGGGAGGGCGTCAAGGAAGAGGGCGTGGCCGAGGAAGAGGTCGCGGTCGTGGTGGACGAGGATTCGGCACCCAGAGGGGTGGTGGTGAAGGAAGCCGCTACGTGGGAGGAGGGGGAAATGGTCCCTCATACGGTGACCGTGGTTCTTACTCCACCTGGGGTAGAGGAAGAGGCTCATGGTACAACAAGTGGGATAAGCCGTACCCACCACATCCAGGCCTACCGGAAGGAGAGCCTTGGAAAGAGTTGGGAATTACAGAAAAAGTTTGGGCCGAAAGGAAGAAGGCAGATCAATGCCTCAAATGTGGGGACCCCGACCACATTGTCCCCTATTGCCCTGACTATAGAGGGGCAAAAGGGAACAGCCAGTAGAGGTGTCAGTTGCCTCTACCAGGGCTTCGAATGTTGAAAAATCAGAATCCTCCCATTCGAAGGCCCCAACGGTAGAAACTGAACTTGCGAGTCTACACGCGGTTATATTAGTAAAAGAGGTTTGCAGAAACTGCGTCTTGGGCTTAAGGTTAAGAAGTTAGATGAGCCCATTGTAAGTAAGTTGGCGAATAGTAGTGAAACTGTCATGGATCGATACATCGATGGGAGTACAAGTATACTTTCGGCTAGAGGCAGAGGGAAAGGTGGAACGTGTTCTCCACTCTCTGACCTTCTTGGTGGAGGATAACTTGCCCTTTGATGTGTTGCTAGGAATGGATTGGGG